AAAACATTGGAGATAGGCAAAGGGTGGGGTAGATGAAGTGTCAAGAGAACTGAGGGTGGTGACGTGTGTTCTGAAGGTAAATTTGAGTTCAGATTAGGTAAGCAAGGAAGTGAGAGTATGGAGGCTGACAGGAATTTGAAGGTTTGGAGGTCAAAGAAGAAGTTGGGTGCAATTGGTAAAATGCATATGGATAGTGTGTGATTAGAAAGGAATGGGTTATTTGAGGTATATCCTTTCTTGACTAATCAAAGCCACCCAAAGAAATGAAATAATCAGAGAAGGAGAAGAAGGGAAGTCTTTGGATAAGAAAAGACTGGAGGATAGGGATATCTGAATTAGACCATGGGATGCAGATGCCACTGTTTTAATGATATTTTTCCTATTTGCAGTATTATTGTATTAATTTGACTACTGCTATCTTAATAATTTCTCTTTAAATTGACTATCTTGAATAATTTAGCCCTTTTCTTTTTGTCCTACATACACTTATAAACTGTAGTATATCTCTTATACTATACATTATTTCATTTGATTTTTAATTTATCAATAAAATAATTTCAGACTTTTTGACTGTTAACTTTTAGTTTCTTAGGTTGGACAATTTTAGCTTGATCATGAATATTAATATACATAGATATATTTTACTATCTTTACAATTTAGCCTCTGAAATGATGTAAAATTAGGCAAGATGTTTTTTTTAAGGAGGAAAAAGTAGAATGGTGCAAATACTAAACTTTTAATAAACAAACCTTGTTTTGGAATAGTTTTACATTTACAAAAAAGTCACAAGATTGGTACAAAGGGTTCCCATATACCCACTCCCAGTTTTCTCTATTGTTAGCATCTTATATTAGTATGGTACAATTGTTACAATTAACAAACCAATACTGATAAATTATTGTTAACTAAAGCCCATGCTTTATTCAGATGTCCTTAGCTTTTGGCCATTGCCCTTTTTCTGCCCCAAGATCTCATCCAGGATGCAAATTACATTTAGTTATCATGTCACTTAGGCTCCTCTTGGCTGTGACCGTTTCTCAGCCTTCCTTGTCTTTGATGAGCTTGACGGTTTTGAGGAGTGCTGCTCAGGTGTTGTATAGAGTGTCCCTCAGTTTGATTCATCTGATGTTTTTCTCATGATTACAGTGGGGTTATGAGGTTTTAGGAGGAGGACCACACAGGTAAAGTGCCATTCTCATCACATTATATTAGAACTGCATGCTATAACATGACTTATCACTGTCAATGTTAACCTTGTTCACCTGACTGAGGGTAATGTTTGTCAGGTTTCTCCATTGTTAAGTTTCCACTACCCATCTCCCCACGACCCTTCTCACTAATACTGTGTTCTTTGGAAGGAAGTCACCATGTGTATTAGTTTGCCAGGGCTGCTATAGAAAAATACTACAAACTGGGTGACTTAAATAACAGAAATTTCTTATCTCAGATTTTGGAAACTGGAAGTCTAAAATCAAGGTGTCAGCAGGGTTGGTTTCTGGTGAGGTCTCTCTCCTCATGTTGTCTAAGGTGACTTCTCTCTGGGTTCTCACATGACCTCTTCTCAGTGTTCATGGATGGAGAGAGGGAGAACTTTAGTATTTCTTCCCTTTCTTTTATAAGGATATACAAAGACATTGATCCTATTGAATTAGGCCATGTTTTTCCTCTGTTCTTGTACTAACACAACAACAATCAACAAAGAAGACTTCTGTGACCCCAAAATATGTGATGATTTCTTCCCATTAAAAGTTCGCAAGCAAAGCAATCAGTTCTGTACCAGACACCAACTGAGTATCCTCCAATTCAATTCTGAAACTATCTACCTAAAGAGAGTTTCAGATCCCATAGGATGAGGGCTCAGTCCCCAAGACTTCCCCCACTATCTCAGACAATAGTTGCACATTGGACCTCTAGGACTTCTGACTGGCTGCCAAGTTGGGGTTCCCACAACTCCTATTTTGGGTTCAATTAATTTGCTGGAGGAGCTTGTAGAACTCAAGGAAATGTGTTTACAGCATATTATAAAGGATATTGTAAAGGATACAGATAGAGAGATGCATAGGGCAAGAGACAGGAGAAGTGATGTGAGGCTTCCATGCCCTCCAAGAACCTCTCCAGGAGGTTATCCTCTCCAAACACAGTTATCTTTGGTTTTTGTGGAAGCTTCATGATGTCAGCATTCCTTCCACAAGAGTCTGGGGCCTAGACCCACAATCATATGGGGAAAGATTAGAGTCCTGCTTTGGGGCAGGAGAAAGGACAGCAGGAAAATGTCAGAGAGATTCTGTTTCCTGAGGCCCTAACATACTCAACATTATAACAAAAAACTAACTATGGGAGTTATGATCCAGGAACCGTCGACAAAAACATAAATATATCATCACAGGACCCCACTCTTGTGACCTTATTTAACCTTAATTACATTCTTAAAGGACCTGTCTTAAAAATGGTCACATTGGAGCTATAGGGCTTCAGCATAAAAATATAGAGGGACATAATTCAGTCCATAACACAAGTACGTATCCTATACTTGAGGAGTAGGGGTCTATGCTTTACCTCTTTGAATTATTTGCAGTTATTCTGAACAAGAGATTAGTTTCTTCTTCATTGATTTATTTAATCATTTACTTATTTATATCAGTATGGACTTCTGGATATTTATTTCATACTTTAAGTTATAATCCAATAGTATATTATTTATATTTTTGCTCAAATCTTTACAGTTTTTGACCTTGAGAGCTTTCAGGTAGCTTCTATGCTCCTTTGACATAAAGGAAACATGATTTTGTATTTTGTACCCTTTTTAACTTTCTGGCACTGCACAATATTCCAAAAGGTTCATATTGTATATTCTCTGTTTCCAGTCCTAGAATTAGTCATTCTCCAGTAACCCTGGTTCCTTTTTCTGGAGAATGGCATTAGAGAGCAAGATGTGGGCACTGGGTATGCTCATTGCTACTGAGACATCATTGTTTCTATGCCCTCCCAGATGACAGAACTTCAAAATATGCTAACCTGTGCATACATATGTGTAATAATTTTTTAATGCATCTATCTATATCTGTATCCACCTATAACAGTATGAGTTCATACTTTTCCAGATCCAATCCAGATTCTCATGAAAAAAATATAGCTTTCCCACCTTGCTTGCCTTTTCACTCCAACAATGAGAAACCTGGTTCCCACTCTTCCCCATCAAACAAATGTACATATTTGTTCAATCCCAGTATACACATATAGTGGTTTCAGAGTTGCTTACTTGTTTCCTCATGAGACAGTTTTCCAAGTAGAGTACAGTGCCCTTTTACAGTTTATTTTGTCTTTCAGTCTCCACTCATTTTCAGAATCACTTAGCAACACTTTTTACCCAGCTCCTTTCAGAGACATTTTGTCATATATCAGTAATACAGTTGGATTTCTTTTTGTCACAGTCTGCATTGCATCTTGGCATGCTCCAACCTCCTAACTGATTTTTAAAAATTTGCATTCATCAGGACCACTGTGCAATTCTGTGGGTTTGGAAAAGTGTATAATGTTTTGAATCCACCATTACGGTATTATGCAGAGTAGCTTCACCACCCTAAAATATCTCATGTTTCACTGTTCATTCCTTTTTCTGAATCCCTGGAATCCACTGGTCTATTTTCTGTCTTACTAGCTTTTCTTCTCCAGAATATCATATAAATGGAATCATACAGTATGTAGGATTTTCACACTGGTTTCAGTCACTTAGCACTTAAGATTCACTCATGCCCTTACATGAATTGTTAGTTCATTTATTTTTATTGCTGAATAATATTCCATTGTATTTATGTACTGCAAGTTTATTCGTTCATCTACTGAAAGACATTTTGGTTGCTTCCAATTTGGGGAAATTATAAATAAAGCTGGCATAAACATGTGCAGACCATAAGTTTTGTGCAGACACAAATTTTTTAATCAGCTATAAAAATGCCTAGGCGTATGATGGCAGGTTGTGTGCTATGAAGATGTTTAGCTTTATGACTGCTAAACTGTCTTCTAAAGTGGCTGTATCATTGTGCATTTCCAAAAGCAATTAGTGTTTCTGTTGTTCCACATCCTTACCAGCAATTCTTATCATCAGCTTTTTGGATTTTAGTTATTATAGATGTATAGTAGTATCTCATTGTTTAAATTTGTATTTTCCTAATGACAGACAATGTTGAACATTTTTCCATTTGCTTATTCCCATCTGTATATATTTTCTGATGAGGTTTGTTAAACTCTTTTACCCATATTTTTATTGGCTTGTTTTCTTATTGTTGAGTTTTAAGAATTCCTTGTGAATTTTATATACAAGTACTGTATTATCATATATATGTATTATAAATATTTTTCCCATTATGTGCTGGTATTTTCATTTTCTTAACAGTGTCTTTCACACAGCAAGTTTTTAATCTTAGTGAAGTCCAACTTATCAATTTTTTCTTTCGTGGACAGTACTTTTGTATTTTATCTAAAATTCATTCACCAAACCTAAGATTAGACAGATTTTTTCTTCTATAAGTTTTATAGTTTTACACTTTACATTTAGGTCTATGATCCATTTTAATATAATTTTTGTGTAAGGTGCAAGGTCTCTGCCTGAGCTTACTTTTCTGCATATGGATATATAATTTTGCAGTTTGTTGAAGACTTTTTTTCCCACTTAATTACTTTTACACCTTTGTCAAAAATCAGTTGAGTCTATTTGTGGGGGTCTGTTTCTGAGCTCTGTGTTCTGTTCCATTTATTTATTTGTTTACTCCTTCACCAATTCTATACTGTCTTGATTACTGCAGCTTTATAGTAAGTCTGGGAAATGGGTAGCAAGTCCTCCAACTGTGTTCTTTTTCAGCATTCTAGGAGATTCTAGGCCATTTTCCTCTCCATATAAATCTTAGGAGGAGGGTGTTTGCTGAATTTTAAAAACAAAAAAAGTAAAAATGGCTAATCCTCAGAGATGGAGTGTGTGATGTTCCTTTAATTTTTTTCTCAGGTGGTTCTTTGAAGCTCTGAAGTATCGGAAATCTTCCAAAGCTAACGTCATCAATGGAGTACTCATGACGGTAGTGTTCTTCATCGTGCGGATTGCCTCGATACCTCCTTTGTATGGCTTCATATATTCCGTGTATGGAACAGAACCCTACATAAGGCTGGGATTTTTAATCCAAAGTTCCTGGATCTCTACTTGTGTTGCTTTGGATGTGATGAATGTCATGTGGATGATCAAAATTTCAAAAGGGTGCATCAGAGTCATCTCTCTCATCAGACAAGAGAAAGCTGAAAGTAGCCTTCAGAATGGAAAACTTGACTAAAGATATGCTCCTGATAAGCGAACTTTATTACTACCTGGCATTATATCTGCTGATAGGATGAATTATTGGCATGTTTTTGTGCTTCTTTATTAATTATAATTGTTATCCAGGGTTTCAGTGTCATTTTTTACCTTTAGAAAAGAGAAACTAAAATTTAGTTCCCATTCCAAGATTTATTTTCTGCTTTTCTTCTGCATTATTTATAAGCATCGATAAAATCTTAAAGGTTTAAATAAAATATTGTAAATATAGTGGTGAATCTTTTCAGACATCACTTAACCTGCATTGGTATTGTTCTCTGTGAAAGATGGCTATGATGATTTGGTACACTTGGTTTTATGCCACCAATTTGGCTAAAAGAACGGGAACTGCTTGTAAATCTGGAAATAGCTCTTAACATTTGTTGTTCCTTACTATGGCTGTCAACACCTGTGTAGGGTTTTATTTCTAAATTTTTTGCATGTTCTTTTTCTTAGGCTATTTAAAAGTGATATATTTTTCATTTCAGATATGCAATCATCTATTAATGATGAAATATTTCACCACTTTGGGAATTTCATTAGTTATGGAAAATACTTCCTGCAATTTAAGATTTTTAAAATTCACTTTATTATTTCCAATATTATTTTGCATTTCCAATTATTTATCATTTTATCAAACTATTGCTTTTTTATTTTATAGCAAGGCTTAAAACAGATCTGATAGACCTCCTTAAGAGATTAATTTTTTTCTAAAAATGCATGATGATAGATAACTACTTAGGCTCATAGGAGGAATCATTAAGAAAAGCTTTAACACTGTTGTCCCTACCTGCTTCCCTTATACTTTCTCTGTGAAAATATATTATTTCTATTTGTAAAATCTTCCCTGAGTTCAGAACCCAACATCATCAGTACCAAAGTCTTGTGCAATATATATTTATTATGCTCCTGAAATAGATCTCTTCTTGATGAGACCCCAACTGCTACAAAAAAAATCAGTATTTATATTTTACTCATGATTCACACCTATGCTTACATAATCAGCATTTTGAGTGATTGGAATTTCTATCTTAAAGGATAGGAAGAAAAGGTAATTTAATCTAATTATTCTGATTATCAAAATTATTGACTGATTATGTGAACTTAAATGACTGTTGTCTCTGGTTGTATGTGTGTTTGCTTTTGCTTTGGTTCTTACATCCAAAAATAGAGTATATATATTTATCTATTATTGCCCTTATTTATTTTTTCAAGTACTTGATTTTAATAATTGTTCTTAACAAAGAGAGAGATTTAATTCAACTGGTGGTGAATACTTGAACTTGACTGAATTCAAACCAAAAGTTCTAACCCATTCAGTTTTTCAGTTTGAAGGAAAATGTTCGACTTACTTTCCTTGTTCGTGTGATGATGACGATGAAGGGATTAGCGGAATATAATCAGGACTTTTGATTTGATGTGATGTGATTTGGTTATTCAGTGCATATAGAGCCTGATAAATTTGAGGACATTTTAAGAAGATAATGAAATCTCAATCAATAACTAAATGATAAAATAAGATTGATTGGCTTATACTAGGTACTTTTGTTTTTGAAATACTTAATTCAAGTAATGTAAAATATAATAATTTGTTTTTAAAGCACCTAATATTACATTGATAATTTGTTACTAAATTTGGTGCTGTGTACATCATTGGCATTCAAATATGTATTGGTTATCTAGAAAAAGTAGGAAAGCAACTGATTTTATCTTGTTCTTGCTCTTTTGCAAGAAAGGTGACTTTTTAAAAGGAAAATATATTTTAAAACTATTTTGGAAATTCATTCCTTTAGAAAGAAATAAACCTTGAAATAAGTATTTTTGACTCTGGATATTTCTATAGTTCTGAACACAGATTTTAAACCCACCATCAAAATGAAGGCAATGTAAAGCTATAATATTAGTAAGTCTCCATGTAGAAGTGTCAGTTTTTATAGCTACTGTTTCATGCTTAAACCTTCATTTTTACTTTCATTAACATTACCTTTCATTCGTTAGCTCCTCACTAAATAAGTATATTTAAAATATCAAAGTTTTGAACTAAGGGTTGTTATTCCTTTAGTCAGCAGTTCTTACCTTATGCTGGCTGCATGACAGTTAATTCAACAGCCAGATTCAGTATCCCAAAGTAGGTTCTATATATTTCCTTATACAACAGACATGAAGTGGAAATTAGACTACAAACTGCCATGCTACTTAAATCTGACCTTTACAGAGGTATACGTTTCTGTTCTGTGATTGTATCCACCTACTTAAAATACAAATAAAGACAGAAACTATCATTTATTAAACAATGAATTTTTCATTTATTAAATGATAAGCTTTTGCTAGATATTTTAAATATTAAATATTTTGACTACATGGATTAATTTAAATGATTCTATTAGGCATTCTAATATTTAACAACTCTGTTAAAGCATTTATAGAAAATAAAAGCAAATTGTTATAAATTTTTAAGCAATTCTATTTTTGTAGAAGAGATTAGTGACAATCTGTAATTATAAGATGTTTGAATGTATTGTATTCTAAAAATAAAAGTTCTTGTGAAACTTTAAAAGAATGAAAAAATAAATTAGTAGCATGCAATTCATAGATCCTGCATTAAATTCTTATTTGTGAGAATTTAAGAATTACAGAGTTTGCATTCTTGTGTCCAAAATGTTAAGGATTATTTGCATTAATGTAAAACTCAAAATGGAGTTATATGAGTACAAATCAGTTAGCTCTTGCTTCAGTTATATTTTGATGGCTGTAGCCAGTTGAAATTAAATTTTCATTCCAATTGTTTGATTTTGTTATTTCATAGACTAGCTCTATGTTAAGAGAAGTAGCAGTTAGGTTGTTCCCGCCCTTAGGAGTGACCCTGATATATTATGGAATACCCTGGACTGTCTTAGTTTTATCTAGTTTTTAAAGCTGCCCAATTTATAGGTGTTTGAATCAAATTATTTTCTCAATTTTAATAATTTGACCCAAATCAAATGTTTGCTAGAGTGTCAGTTTTCAACTGCGTACTTCCTCTGAGGCACACTGGGCTCATGGAGAATGGTTTTCCGTGGTGTGAAAAGCTGCTCTGCTATTGGCAGCACCACTTGTTAACATGCTTTTAGAAGGATTCTTGTGGAGATAGAGAGGGGAAAGTATTGTAGTGCATGTGTTTTTTCTGTGTAATTGTCCAGGGAAATAAATATGTTCCAAAAGAGGGTATCGAATAATATTACAAATTTTGTTTCTATAATAGGTTGCTCGTAACTCCAAATATATAAATGTGCATTTGGATTGGACTTAAGTGGTTCCTTCTGTTGGATGAAATGGAAAAGTCCACATGTTTGCTGACATCATTGATTATACTTCATAGAAGTTTATATTTTTGTATGCATTAGGGATTCTATAAGAAACAGACATATAATTTTATCGGAAGAGTGGCACAGTGTTTCTCAACAGATACTTGCCAGCACAGCAGTGAGACCTTCCTGTGTCTCTGGGCGCACACACACCCTCCTAGCCTTAAATATTGCTGGTGACAAACACATTAAAGCTACTGAAAATGAGTTCTTATGCAACATACGTGTGAAGGGTATAGGAACAACAAAAAGGTAGCATGACCTAGAGTTAGAAGAGACATTGAGACTACTTTTCCCTTAAAAGCCATGATGATCTTCCCTCAATCTCGAAGTTTTCTTCCTGAATCCTTCCAGCCCTTCCATCTCTTCTTCTAATACCCCAAAGACTTCATCAGCACTTCCTTCCCTTATGCCAACACTTTTCTCTGTCAACTTTTGAGACCTCCCCATGTATATGTAAGCTTCTCAGTTTCATGATAAATTTAAAAGTTGACAAATATGTTCTCATGGATAAAAAGCATTGTAGTGAATTGAAATTGAACTCAGGCTATACTTTCTTAAGCAGCTACAGGAAGCAATTGAACATTTAATAATACCTGTTTACAACATGAGGCAAAGCTAATAATGTTAGGGTTCTATTAAGAGACGTTTTCTTGTAATCTCTTGTTTTCTGGAACTGTTTATCAGTACAAGCTTGGTAACATGGTTCAGCAGGGGATTTACAGCAGGCATGTGAATTATCAAAATGTTCTTTGTAGACCCCATGAAAGGACTACAGAGGAACTTATGAGGTGTGGCTCTGGCTTGTGGCAGAATTATTTTAGAGTCCTACCCTTTAATAGGGCAAACTTTTTTACAGTAATGTTTTTTTGAAAGCATATTTACCAGCAAATAGGTTACTTAGCTTTTTCCAAAGTACAACACCCAAGGTCCTGAACCCCACCCTATTCTAGACCAGACTTTATACAGTTGCTTTGATAAGAAGTCACATTTTTATTGGAAGATGTTTTGAATAGCAGTGAAGAATTGAAGGCAGATCCTAAGGACTGGTTTGTTTGCACTGAAAATGCCTACACAGCAGGCCCTATACATTAGAACAAAAATAATGAGAAATATTTCTAAATCTTGAAGATTTATAAGTACAATACCACGGCTGAAAACTCGTTTAACATTCTCTGTATATTTTTTTCTTTATGAAACTCCTTCTGTAATTAAGTGTACATTAGGGTTATTTGCTACTTCTTGATTAATGAAGCCTAAAAATATAGCTGTAATTAAAATACGCTATGTATTTTTTCTGTTCTTGCCTGGATTGTTTCTGGTATGATTATGTCTACATTTTACTTAAGGAATTTTGTTTGGATAATACTCTCACCACCTTGTAACTAGAGTAAGTTATGAGATCTTTTGGTAATTATTAGAATGTATAATAATGATATTTAGACAGATTTTTATTTGAGAAAGCTACTTGAAAACTGCAACAAATGTAATAGCTATAGTGATTCATACAATTTTTTCCTGAGATTATATAATATATAATATTTAATTGTAAAGATTTTTTGAAAGTTTTTCAAAGTACACTTAATAGCATTTTGAGAACATATCTTTTAATTTATTTCCATAAGGTTGAGGAACTTTTATTTATAGAATGTAAGACTAGGTAATTTATAAATCAGTATTATTAGAACTTAACAGTAATTAAAATAGCAATTTAGTATTCTTTAGGTTGGTTCCTGGTTGGGCTTTGTTTGGAGGGATAATCAGTCTTTTTAAGTATTTCCATTAAAATTTTGAAATGTTTGTATACTTTATTTGTATATGTGACATTTTAAATTATATGCAAGTTCTAAGCAATAATCTGCATGTTACTCAAGGTTGGAATATTTTGTCATGACAATTTTATTTAATACGAATTCTAAGAATGATAAAATCAATCCTATAAATCACTCATTTCCCCCTGCCCATGAAAACTTTGAAATTTTCTTGTACTAGAACACTACTATATTGTGGTGCAAAGCTTTGTATTTTGTGGAAAAAGTTAATAAAATCACAATTATTTAGTGCAAAAGTTTGTCTGCAAGGTGTATACTTTACTAGTAATTAATTGATGGTAAAATTACTTTCCTCAAATCAAATAATCTCGTCCAGTACCTGAATTCTAAAGGTAAGATTTTATTCCAGATGCTTCTAGACATTGTTTACACCCTGCCCTCTCTTTCTCCCCAGTGAGGTCCCAGCCTTGTAGCATAACAGGAGTTGCAAACATTTTAGTCATGGTTGTTAATGGAAGGAATGGTGCTATCTAATCAACAGTCTCTTTTAGATTAAAACTTTGGCAGTTGTGTTTTTAATCTCCTTACCTTTGTCCCTTAGGCCTCTCATGTGGTCTCTGGTGTTTTCTGCCAAATGTCTTGGCTGGAATTCCTGCATCTCAGATTTCCTATGGTCTTAATCTTGCATCTTGGTCCAAGAATATCCAGTAGATCAGGAAGCAGAGCACTAATTGAATAGAATACTGAAGTGGTTTGGCATTTGGAGAGTATAATGAGTCATGCCTCAGAACATGCCTAAAATGTTGTGTCAGGACTGGCAAAAGAACAGCTGAATTTCAAAATGAAAATAGCAGTCACAGCTGTCAGTGGAGATGGTCCACAGGTAAGGTTACAAGTATTCAGAACCACTTAAAGCAAATGTGAGTGGGGTCTCTCTCCCACACCTCAGGCTGTTGCAAACATGACTTGCCCTCCAGTCTAATAGAGAATCCCTCTTACAGGAATTCTCTAGTCTTTTCCAAAATCTATTTACTGCTTCCTGTCCTTTTTGATATCCTTCAGCATGCACAAAATAAGTGATGTGGTAAATTAATAATTTTTCCTCATGCTACTAATTGATAATCTGATAGGTGTTTCTGGATTCCCCTTCAAAATTGGCCTCTTCATCTAAGGACTGTGCACACCACCCTCAATTTGAGTAGCTGTGCCCATGTCATTTTTGGCACAGTGCTCCTAGATTCTCCCTGCCATAGCCACACAACCCCCTCCTTCTCCTACCTCTAGCTAAATCCAATCAACATATCTAGTCTTGTTATTTTACCAGATCATAGACTTTATCAGCAGAAATTACCTGAGCAGAACTTTCAAGGGAGACCTATGTAGAGAAATGAAAGGTAATAGGGACGATGGACTGTATTTGTATTAAGATAAAGGTCAAGGGTAGGAGGAAATTTGGAAAGAATGCCACAAAAGGAAGGAGGAAACAACTTCAGAGAATAGGAAAAATAAACTGCTATCTATATGCATTGCATTTTGTATGACACCAACTTATCAAGCAAATGAAAATAGTAAAACTCTTATGCCTTGTATCAGAGTATAAGAAGTTTTATGATTTTTCTTGGAGTCTGGTTTGATGGCGTGCACCTATAGTCTCATCTACTAGGGAAGCTAAGGTGGGAGAATGACTTGAGCCCAGGAGTTTGAGTCCAGCCTGGACAACATAGTGAGATTCCCTCTCTAAATTAAAAAAAAAAAAAAGTTTTATGACTTTTCTATGCTATAGTGTAATATATACATATTTATTACATATACTTCTCTGCATAGGTGTTTGTAGGTACGTGTGTATATACGTTTGTACATACACATATCTATCTACACATGTTCACTTGTGTGGGACATGATTTTTCTTACAGTTTCGAAGCTATGTGTATCAAGAAGAGGCATATTTTACCAGTGTTTCTCCCACTGCCAACAACTAGATGCCTCTGCAGAGGTGGCTCGAGTAGGCAGCATTTGTGAAGCAGTGGTTCTGGCAGGCTGTCCCAGTTTGCAAGGGGCCACAGTCCTACTCTGCCATAGTTACCAAAAACCAAACTATGCCCAATACTTAAACTTCCAGGAATAATTTGTGTTCCAGGCAAGCTCATCTGAGAGGTTTTAGAGGACAAAATGAGCAGCTCTCAAAGTATACCGTATTGTAGACAGAAAGGTTGTATGCATGGATGAGGAAAAGAGGGTAGATTTGTTTGACTTGTAAATTGGAAAAGAGCAATTTGAAAAGAGTGAGGTGCCTAAAAACCTCTGGTAACCATGAAGAAGTATCTTAATTTCTTGGAGTGTTAGTTTTGTTGTCTGTAAAATAATATTTGAAGTATCTCTGACATTTCTTCCAACTCTCCCATCCCTTTAGCAAGCGCTTTAATTTGAGATGAGGTAATTAGGAAGGAATAAGTGTAGCGTTGAAAGTTAATAATGTGATCTAAATGACATTCAAGGGAGAGTCTCAGTGTCAAACGAGAGGAATGGGAATATAGAAACTAGAAAATTGATAGACAAACTGGTCAAGGACCTGCAAAGTAGTTAAACCTGATGGTTGGCCCAGGACAAGGAAATAAAGGGGTGAACCTGATAAATATTGCAGAGAGAGAGAGACAACAGGATTTTGAAGGACAGAATCTGACTCAAATAAGGCTGAGAAGAGACAGATGTTGCTGGGTGATGATGTCAGAATGTCAGAGCATTGGCCTCAGCAGGAATTTGGTGAGCATGCTCATGGCAGCTCTTAACGGGTCTGGTAGATGAGAGGGGGAAAGGACCTGAGATAATTTGCCAAGAATGAGAATGAGAAGGTGTAGTAGTTAGAAAAGTCGAGTGGAACCTATGACAGACTTTAAGTATAATAGCAGCCAGGCACAGTGGCTCACGCCTGTAATCCCAGCACTTTGGTAAGCTAGGCAGGCAAGGACTGCTTGAGACCAGGAATTCGAGCATGGGCAACATAGCAAGACCCCTTTCTCTAACAGAAAAAAAAAATAAGAAACTTAGCCAGATGTGGTGACAGATTCCTACAATCCCAGCTTTTATGGAGATTGAGGCAGGCAGATTGCTTGTGCCCAGGAATTTGAGGCCGCAGTGAGCTGTGATCAATCAATCACCACTGTGGTTTTGATTGTGCTTCTGATTTCTGACCCATTCTCATGCCTTAACCCCTCATATCCATGTATTCCAGTTTACTGAGTCATCACTGACCTATGATTTTCTCACAGTCCTTTCAGGTTCCCCATCTTGTCCCCATGACTCATTGCTCCCTATACAGTCAGACCAGCTCTATCAAGAAGCTTGAGAAAGGTCAAGAGATGACAGAAGACCTAAAGAATAAGGTCTTTCTCTGGAGTTTCAGGCTGCCGGTCTAGTAGCTAGAGGCTACTGTGGGTCAAGGAGACCCCAGTCCTGCAGTGGGATGGACTCCCTAGGTGAGAGATCTTTAGATGATGAGAGAAGAGGGGAAAGCTCAAAGGGTAGAGCAGAAGAGGCTGTGGTTCCTGGAGCAGGGGTGGAGGCTTCAGGGGCAGTGTGAGGTCTTCATTTTGTGGTTTATGGATTGTTAAGAGGGAAAATAAAGAGGCACATTCTCTCTTAGACAACAATGCAATCTTCTAATGGGTCTCTCTGACTTCACACGTGCCCCGCTTCCATCACACATGCCACTGACGAAGTTATTATTATAGAAATTTTTGTCATAGTCCTGTTCAAACCTCAAAACTCCCAGCATTCCACTCCAAGTTTAAATTCCTTACGTTGGATCTGAGGTTCTCAATAATATGTGTAATCCTCCCCTATCTACTCAACCTCACCATCCACTGTGAAGTTCCCATGAAATGTCACCACTGTCCACCCATGCTCATGCAGCTCCAGTCTCTAGCATCCGCCATGCCCTGGCCTGGAGGCCCTCGCCTCTCTCACTGATCTCTTATATCCTCATTATCCTCAAGGCCATGTAGTGAGGGAATTTCCCACTATCAACAAAAGGAAACTCTTCTGGTAGAGTTGGGAGGAGTACGCTCACTAAATTATTTTAACGTTTATTGAACAGTTGCTACTTGTCAAGTGAATTCCTAGAACAACCAGGAAAAATAAACTCATTTGACTGACAGCCTGGATCTCAGAACTTCCTGCCATAAAGAAGCTGGGGCACAGCTGAGTGGCTATGTCTTCTCTTAGCCAAGAGGTTTAAAAGGTGCTTCCCCCACCCCCAATGACTGGGGCAAGTAGTGGGCACACAGCCCTCTGCAGGCTTCAGCTCAGACTTGGATATTTTGAATAACCTGGTGGAAAGACTTTTCATCAGAGAATCCAGAAACCTGGGTCCCAGTTCTGACTCCACTACCCACTAGTTATCCTTCTAGGCAAATACTTTTTCCTCACCGGCATTTGTTTTTCCATTTGTAAAGTGAAGAGTTGAGCAGGGTGAATTGCAGTCCCCCTTTCTTTCAGATTCCATCATTGAGTGATTATGACAATTAGGATCAATCGTCATAATTGATTAGGGAGTATAGCCATGGTGTGGTGGGTTGTGAGCATTATTCTTCTGTTATGAGAAAAATCTGGGACTGTGTACAATGTTTCCCCAAACTAAGAAGGAACTGAGAAACCAAAGAATGACTCGGCCAAGTCCGGCTTGCCGAGTAAATGAGTTTGTTAGGACTCACATACAGGGCACTTCTGAGCAGCAGCAGGATAACTCTGGAGATCTGCTTGGACACCCATTTTCAAAGCTGTTTTTAAGCTAATTTTCTGGCTCTTTGCAGAAATTGCTGTTTTTAAGCTACTGCGTACAATGAGATATTTTTTTTTTTTGAGTTGCAGTCTCACTCCGTCGCCCAGGCTGAAGTGCAGTGGCACGCACGCTCACGGCCACCCCAGTGTCAGCCTGCTGGGATCCGGTGATCCTTCTCCCTCAGCCTTCCAAGTAACTGGAACTACAGGCACACGCTACCATGCCTGGCTAATTTTTTTTATTTGTTGTAGAGACGAGGTCTCACCAAGTTGCCTGAGCTGATCTCGAACCCACAGGCTCAGGAAATCCACTCACCTCAGCCTCCGAAAGTGCTGGGATTATCGAATGAGACGACGAGCCTGGCCAATTTTTTTTTTCTTGATATGCTCTCAAATATCCTCCAGGATGTTTGGATTCTCAGGGATGCTTGCTCCTCAGCTGAGCACCATGGCCTTGGCTCACCACCCAACCTTCAGGATTCAAGCAGTGGATGTACACCCTTAAGTAACTTGGGGGCGA